TCATACTTCACAGCATTCTCCATAATTGAAAGACTTTGCATAGTCAATAAAGCATAGGTAAGCATCTTTCTGATAGTATCTGCTTTCAGCCAAGAACCATTGGGCATCAGCAGCGTTATCCCTCATTCCACGGCCTCTTCTGAATCTGGCTTGAACCTCTGGAAGTTCTCTGTCATTGTATGCTTGCAGCCATTTTCTGTATTACTTTTAGTAAAACTTTACTCACATGGGATAGTAAAGATATTCTCCGATGAGTTCCATATTCCGTTGGGTCACCTCTCTTTGGAATGGGCACAAATAGGGATCTCTTCCAATCAGTTGGCCAGATAGTTGTCTTGTAAGTTTCTTGGCAGAGATGAGTGAGTGCCTCCTGTGCTGCCTCACTTTCTTGAAAGGACATTAGGGTTATGAATTTACATACTGACTAAGCAGAGTCAAGATAGCAAAAATAGTAGACACATCTGGCATGAACTTTATACTAAATTATTCTAGAGCAAAAGGTCCCATTAAGTTTTCTGCCCAAGCTAGGATTCAGGGTGTGAAAAATATAAGCATAAAGTATCCCAAAGTTAGCACTAAGCTATACCTGAATTGTTGAAACAGTGAGTTACCAGAAGCCATTTTCCTTCATGTTCTTCAAAGTCTGTACCTTCACATTGACCTTTAAATGGTGGTTGTTAGGTGCCTTGGTGTCAGTTCTGACTCGTAGTGTCCCTTTATAGAGTTTTCAAGGCTGTAAGTCTTTATGGAAGCAGAAAGCCTCATGTTTCTCAGGGGCGGAGAGAGGAGTGGGGGAGAGCTGGTAAAGTCTAACTGATGTATTAGTGGTTAGCAACCCAATGTTTTAACCCACTATGCTACCAGAGCTCCTTATGACCCTTAATTTGGCCCTTAATTTAACATTCTGGACCAGACACACTTAATTGTGAGAGCTTTAGAAAGCCTTTTATATCCTTAATATTTATCAGAGAACTTCATATTTTAAAATTCTTTTTATTCTCCTCTCTTCTTTAACATATATTCTACTCCAATAATTCATCCTAAGTTTTTAAATTATATATGTTCTAAGACTTAAATAATATGCTTAATTATAATAATTATTAAAATTTTAACAACTATGTAACAAAAAAGGGGAAGAAGTTTTAAAAGGTTTTGCTAATGTGAATGGAAATATATATTTTAAAAAAGGCTAAATAAAATGTATTCATGGAATTTCCTTGACCGGCAATATTCAGTATTTGAAGCTTATGCCTTAGTGTGAGTGAAGAAGAGGAAGACCTCCAATGAGATTAATTGACACAGCGGTAGCCACAATTGGCTCAAACATAACAATAATTGTGAGGATGACACAGGACTGGGCAGTGTTTTGTTCTGTTGTGCATAGGGTTATTATGAGTTGGAACCGACTCAAAGGCACCTAACAACAACAACAGGCTTATTCCTTGATTACAGTTTGTTTAATGCTCTTTAAAATACTTTACTTTTTCCTAAAACAACCATATTATCAGTGCTTTTCTGTGTTTTAGTCTTCTAAACCAGCTGAATCACCAAACACTTCCTGTGTTTTATAAATTTCACCTTACATTTGCAGTATCATCAGATAGACAATTACTGTTTTAACCTGTATATAATTCTCTCTTTACACTACACTACAGGTGCATTGACCATTTCTGTCTTGTTTGTTGTATATTTTTAGAACCTAGTACATTTTGCTGTTGTTAAGTGCTATCAAGTTGGTTCCAACTCATAGCAAGGAGCATCTGGTGGTTTTGAATCGCCGGTCTTGTATTTAACAGTTCAGTGCTTATTCTGTAGTGCCATATCAGAACTCTAGAACCCAGTGCATAGTTGTTGTTATTGTTGTTAAGTGCCGTTGAGTCAGTTCCAACCCATAGCGACCCTGTTCCCCAGGAGTGGCTGGTGAGCTTGAACCACCCACCTAGTGGTCCAAACTGACTTTGCAGTCCAGCGCATTAATCCACAACACTACACCAGAACTCCATAGTAGACCCTTAATTAATGCTTAATGAAAAATGAGTGAATGTGTAACATGTGTTTCATTGGGTCCTACTTTTATTTTAGATATTGTTTATTTTCTCTTGATATTACAATTGTATGTAAAAAGATCTACCTTTGGAGTCTTTACATTGGAAAATTACTCTTTTACTTTAATTAGAAAGTAGTTAACTATGAAATATGATGTAAAGTATTTTTTTCTATGGAAGTAACTATCATGGATTGAACCAAGAAGATAAATTTTAGTAATATGTTTTTAATAATTATTTTAAAGTTGCACAGTACCTAGAAAGAACCTGTCAGTATGACAAGGTGATAAAATATATGTTGTCTGTGACCAGAAAACATTCCATGAGAACTGATTATGTATGTATGCTTATTTTGTTTGTTAATGTGTTTGTTTGTGGTTATGATTCGTGAAGTGAGTAATTCTAGGGATTTTTGCTTCCAGATAGTCATTCCACATGCTTATTTGACTTAAAAAGAACTTTTTTAAATTTTCCTTTTTACTCTTGTTTTCTTATAGCTATGTTGTTGTTGTTAAGTGCTGAGCACTGTTAATTGTTGAACCTTTTTCCTAATAGTGTTCCAGCACTGGTGCTTGATAATCCCAGAACATTAATAAATAGCTGATGGTTGACTTTTGAACTGTTTCTTCATTGGCTTGGCATCTGAGGATGTTTCCATCCCATACTCTACCATTTATTCTCAGTATCATAGTGATGAAGCCATGTCTCGTCACCAGTAATGATCTTTTCAAAGAAACTTTGACCTTCCCTTGAGTATCAGCCCAAATTTTGTTTGCAGATGTGCTAGTGCTTCTGTTTGTGGTCTTCTGCTAGTTGTTTCAGTACCCATCTCACACACATTTTTCAAAAACCAAGTCTACTGTGCATTTTTTCATAGGCAGAGCCATGGCTGATTTGCAAATGATTTATCACATAAGCCATTGTCACTCGTCTATTTGACAGAATCATTTCACATGCCCTCTCAATGTCGTCATCAGCTGTGAACATAGATGTGCATTAACATAACTGGAATGCATATAATTTTTAATTACATGGATATGTGTGTGTGTGTGTGTGTGTGTGTATACTATATATGTCTCTCTCTGTGTGTATGTATATATACACACACACACATACACATATAGTCATAACCAATTGATAATATTTATTCTAAAAGTTTTTTGTTCCCCCATCAAAATAACCAAGTTATTATTATGCTCACAACTAAGGATTCTGTGTTCTTAAGTCTTTCAAATTGTCCTTTTATAACTTTAAGAAACCATGTTGAATATAGCATAGAGGTTATGAGTCAAGCTACTAATCTCATGATCAGCAGTTCGAAACAACCTGCAGTTCCATGGGAGAAAGATGAGGCTTTCTGCTCCCATCAACACTTAAAAGCTCAGAAACCCTATACAGGGTCGCTGTGAGTCGGAACCGACTCCACAGCACATAACCACCACCACATAACCCAATATTAAGAATTGCTCACAATCCTAGTCCTGGTAGATTTGCCAGCCATGTAACTTTTTTGTGCATTATCCATCATAATCACATCGGCAGTTTCAGGTTATGTTTTATTTCTCCTCTTTTTGGAGTAGCATCCTAATGACTGTATTATGGCTAGTTGACTTCAGAGTACCTTCTTCCCCTACTATTCATTTCTTAAATAGGCAGTTAAATACTTACATCAGCATTATAGGGGAAAGTTTTAGACGGGAGGTATAAATTGATAAATTTTAACATGATAAAATGCAAATACCATATAGTGTTCTCATCAAAAAAATGTTTTTCAGTAGACTTAGTTAAAATGATTTCAGCATTGTAAATGAAATATGATTGGTGTCAAATGCTCTATTTTAGAAAATTTGCCTTTTTACCTTTCTCTGATTCAGATTTATAGTAATTACGCTCATCCCTTTTTAGAATTGTTAAAACCCTGTGTCAAAATTCATAGATATGTTTATCCTTTGTGTCTATATGGTTATATTGTATCTATCAGTTCTTTTCAAAATAAATACAATGCAAGCCACACAAGCGATTTTAAATATTCTAGTTTGTTGTTGTTAAGTGCCCTCAAGTCGGTTCCAACTCAAAGTGACCCTGTATAGGGTTTCTGAGGCTTTTTTAATCTTTGCCGGAACAGAAAGCCTCCCATGGAATGACTCCTGGGCTAAAACTGCTGATCTAGTGTCTCACAGTCCAGTGCCTATCTCGTGGAGCTACTGCTCTCCAAAATATTCTAGTAGCCTCATTTAAAAAGTAGAAAGAAACAGGTGAATATAATTTAATTTTAGTTCTTTATCTATAAAATGGGGAACTCTTTGACTTCACACAATAAACACTGGACTGCAAACCACAAGGTCTGCGGTTCGAGCCTGCCAAGTGCTCCACAGGATAAAGATGAAGCTTTCTGCTCCCACAAAGATGTAAAGCCTCGGGAACTTTATACAAGGTCACTATGAGTCATAACTGACTCAACGGTACTTAACAACAGCAATGACAATATATATAAAATAGCATTTCATAATCTAATCATTATTTTTAAACTGTGATATTATGTTTTACATACTTTGAAATTTTCATAACATGTATAATTTTCATGTGTTGTTGCTAAGTGTCATCAAGTCGTTCCAACTCAAAGTGACCCTGTATATGGTTTCCAAAGAGCAGCTGGTAGGTTGAAACTGCTCACTTTGCAGTTAGCAATCCAGTGCTTATCCTACAGCACCATATCAGGATTCTTTTAAATGGATTATTATTCAGACTGCCATATTAGCGAACATAAATCAATTTAAAATAAATAACATTATTATTCTGATACATGATATTCCCAAAAATTAGTCATCAGCTTCTTAGTGGTAGGAAACAAAGTAATACTTTGTTATCTAAACTAAAACTGTGTAAATGTATATATTATATTCCAAATAAGTAGAAATGGCCAAAACTCACAAAAGTAATTGCTTTGCTTTACAGAGAGGAGTACTTTGGAAAGTATCAAAGAGGGAGCTTTGACAATCAAAGAAGAACCATCAAAAATACTATCTGGAAATAAGTTTCAAGACCGGTATTTTATTTTACGAGATGGGTATCTCTTTCTCTACAAGGATAAGAAGGTATTTCTATATGAAATATTTAAATTGTTATAATTCGTATTTCTGTGGGTATTAGGGTCATTAGTTTATGGTACTCTCTCACAGCCCTCTTGCTTGGAAAGCTTGACTCTGTAGTAAATAAGCTGCTTAGATGCTGCTGGCCTCATCCAGCCTTTGCTACATGACAGTGAAGAATTTCATGTGGCCTCCCTAAGTGCCTCACATATTTTCAGGCAGAGAATGACTTTTGGTCTGAGTAAAAACACAAAGGAAATGTGTGTTATATAAACTAACCTATAAGTCAGTATCACAGTGAATAAAATCAAGAGAAAATGTGTCATACCCTAAGGCAAAGGTAGCATGTTTAGTTACTAGAAATAAATTTTAAAAATGGAACAAAAAATGCAAAACCCAAAAGTTAAAATGAATCTTACTAATGTATTTTAATTGATTGTGTCCTATAATATATTTATTAATTGAATCTTGTTACTGTATCCCCATTAGTTTGAAATAATTTATTTAAAAACTTTTGTTAAATGTTTAGTGGAGAGGAGAAGAGATGAAAACTGCAAAAGAGACAAATGATTTAGCTGTAAGAATGTTGAACCTAGTATAAGAAAGTGTTAGCACTGTTCAGAGTTTGTAGTGTGAATATAACCTCTCCACCTCAGTTTCTGAACTGGTAATATGATGATGATACATTGTTGTATCACATGAGTCCTGTATAACAAGTTGTTTTCGATATATCTAGTATATCTTTTCAAATTGAAACATACAAAATATATGCATAATAGTCTTAACATGCTTATTAACAGACACCATGAATATGAATAAATAGATATAAATAGTTGTATCTTAAACTGATATTATTTTCCCTTGATATTTTAGTTGTATTACAAATCTGCCTCTTTCGTTAGTTTTCATACAAACAACACATACAAGAGGACTTCAGAAAATGTGTGGGAAAATGAGATCATGGGATCAAATGATAATGTAATTTTTCCACAACGTATTTAAAGCCCCCTTATTCATATGTACATATATCTGGAAAAGGATGCATATCCAAAACATATGAAGAATCCTCCTATAAATCAGCAATAAAAAGACAAACAAGCCAATAAAAATGGGGCAGATGAAAACTATGACTGACCAATAAACCATTGAACTATAAATGTTCAACAACATTAGTCATCAGGGAATGTAAATTAACTCCATAATAAGATATGATTTACACCCCTTGGTATAGCTAAGAGAATCCCTGAGTGGTGCAAATGGTTAGAAGCTAGGTTGCTAACGAGCCCACCCTGTGACTACGTGGAAGAAAGGTCACAGCTGTGAAAACCCTAGGGAACATGCATTTCTAGTTTGAAACACATGGCTTCTCCATGACTCTTAATGACTTGATGGTACCTGGTTTCATTTGGTTTATGGTATGATTTAAAAAAAAGAAAAAATTGAAAGTACCTAATGTTGACAAGGATTTGGATAACCAGAACTCTCCTAAATTATTGTTTGGAAGGTAGAATCACACTATGACTCTGGAGAACTATTTGTCAATTTTCTCTTGTTTTTTATGAAGTCATTCGTACATCTACCATATGACAGCATCAGTTTCACTCCTTGCTATTATAGCCACAAAAACATTTGTACAAAAGTGTCCATAGCAGCTTTATTCATAAAAGCCCAACCTGAAAACATTCCAAGTGGCCATCCGTAGGAAAATGGTGCATTCAAAGGCAGAAAACTTGTGAGACCCAGAAAAGCAGAGCAGTCCTAGCTCTCTGAGGTTTTACTGTAGTAATAATAGTATTAATGCTAGTCTTTAGTAATAATGATAGTAGTAACATATTGATAGTATCAGTAATTAATGTCCAAGACCACTTTATGCCTCTCAGAGTTCTGTTCATTTTTTATTTCATTTTACTTTTGCAGTAACCCATTGTAATCTATACTATTATTATTAACACCTTACAAATGAATAAAATTGAGTCACTAAAACATTTCATAACTTGTCCAAGATCACATAGCCATTGAGTGGTGCAGTCAGGTGTCTGACCCCGAAGCTTCTGTTCTTACTAATGGAATGTTCTCATTTTGCATTATTTATGCAAATTTTATTTAAAGACAATAATAATATTTTGGTGTTTAAACAATACTAAATCTTTTCAGATATTACAGCTAGTACAATTCAGATTTATATAGTGTTTTCCCTTAAGCTCGGTTGGTACAATGACTAGGTACTCAACTGCTACCAGAAAGGTCAGGAGTTTTAATTCACCAGGCAGTCCATAGGAGAACCAGGTGTCAGTCTACTGCCATAAACATTGCTGTTTTTATTAGGTGCCCTCGAGCCTGGTGCTGCGCTCTCCACATAATCGCTTTTCAGCTTGTGCCCATTGCTGCTGCCACTGTGACAATTCTTCTTGGGGGTCTTCTCATTCTCCCTGACCACCCTTCATTTTACGAAGTGTGATATTTTTCTCCAGGGACTGGTCCCTCCTGATAATATGTCCAAAGTATGAGAAATAAAGTCTCACAATCTTGGCTCCTACAAGAGCATTCTGACTGTACTTCTTCCATCCAACACAGATTTATTTGTTCTTCTAGCATTCCATGGTAGTGTTAATATCCTTCTCCAGTGCATCACTTCTTCTATGTCCTTAATCATTGTCCAATTTTTACATACATATGAAACTACTGAAAATAACATGACTTGAGTCAGGTGCACTTTAGCACTCGATAAAGATTACATCATTGAAAATGCAATGGAGACTGTTCTACTCTATCCTATAGGGTCAGAGTCAGAATTGAACAGACAGCAGTAGGTTTGAGTTTGGGTTCCTGTAAGATGACATAAAGTTTAAAATTAACATAATTAATCTATTCATGGAGGAGTGCCTCCTATAGATAATTTTTGTAAGTGTGAGGAAACATCTCATGGCCCGTAACAGAAGTTTTGAAAAATGTTCCAAGAATTTGTATCCTTTTTGACAGGATAGTCTTGTTCTAGCTAAGATCATTCAGAAGAATTGATACTGTTAGTATCAAGAGTTTGTTTACCCCAAAGACAGTGTGCTTTAAGAACAGTGAACACACTTTTTTTTTTCCCCCCACAATGACCTCAGGTTATAGGATTATAGTCTAATGATCCATGGTGCTAGGTTATTGTCACACCTGTCACCCAGTGTGGTAAGTCATCACACCCATCACACCCACCCACACTCACTCATGGCCCTGCCCACTCATGGCTGGGGAGGTTTCACCATGAGTTACTGCACTGAGTGACACCAACTCTAATGATGTACTGCTAATGATTTATTGTTAAAAAGCATTTGCACATTTGTCAGATTAAATTAGTGCAACTGGTCCTTTAATTTTCACATTAGGGCAGGCAGATTTGACTGACGTTTTCCTTGAAACTGAACCTACTATGTATATCAAGACACGATTTTATCCTGTGGGTTCTTTTTCCATTTTCCTAATCTCTGCCTTTTAATATCAGGGTTCAAGTCATTGGCAAAATTAATGTTTCATATGATTTTGCAGTACATGATCAAGAGTAGAATGCCCCAACTCACTTGAATAAAGCTTTGGCTTTAGCAGTTGCCATTAATATATTTGTGCTTGGATATATTTAGAAAATGAATTGCTGATAAGGAGGTAGAAATTACAAATTTGAGAAGTGTATTTAAAGAGACTGTGTTAATTAGAGATCATTTATGAATACTCATTAACAACAAATTAGGGTTAATACACTGGGGAAGATATATTTTGTTTCGTGAGTTTTTCCTACACTGAAAATGTTAATTAAAATGTTTTCAGACGTGATTTAAATAAAAGGTGAGAGGTTTTGAAGAACATTATCATTGTACCATTAATAGTGTGAAAAAGTAAATGACTAAGAGTGGGTTGTTAAAAGATACATTTACTAATAAGCAAAATCCTTTTAGTCACAAGAATAATTTTTAAGCACACTCGTAGTGGTTACAAATCGGGCTACGAACCTTAAGGTCAGCGGTTCGAAACTACCAGCCGCTCCGCGGGAGAAAGATGAGGCTTTCTACTCCCGTAAAGATTTACACCCTCGGAAACCCTGTACAGGGTCGCTATGGGTCGGAACCGACTCGACGGCACTTAACAACAACAACAATTTATTTGGCTTAGTTATAAACGTAATTTTCAAAAATCATGACTGAGACAGCAAACTAGAGACTTCATAATACTTTAAGTTATTAAACTTTTGAACTAATTCTCCTGGATATACAAATCTAAGAAGAATGAATTTTGACAGGTAAACTGTGAAGTATCATGCCAAATGAGATAGCTTTTATAGAACTTTGCATGTGGAACATTTATATTGGTGGTGGTGTTACTTAGCATCAAGTCAGTTCTGATTCAGTGTAACCCCATGTGTCCAGAGTTCTGCTCCATGTGGCTTTCAAGACAGTTTACCTTTTAGAAGCATTTCCCTAGGCTTGTCTTCAGTGATGCCTCTGTATGGGCTCGAACTGCCAACCTTTTAGCTAATCGTTGAGCAGTTAACCATTTGTGCCACCCAGGGTCTTACTATTTGCTTTCATATAAGGATTTAATTTGTGATAGATATATCGCAATCCATGTGTAAAGAAGACCTTTACTAGCTAAGATCATTGTTAACGCAACCTTTCCATTTAAATTCTCACCTGTGCTGTATAGAGAAAAACGTCCAGATTGATAGAAGATTTAAAAGTTTATATATGGCAGCTTTTAAAACAACATATTTCACTGAAATTTTTATAAGTTATATGGGAGCACTTTAAACTTGAAGAAAGACAAAAATGACCAAAAGAAAAGATCAGTATATTTGAATTCATAAAAATAGTGAATGTATGCAATTAGCAAATGAAATTTGGATAAAATAATTTATCTAAAAAGACAAAGCAGTTCCATACTTAATATATGAAGAACTAATGCAAACAAACAAAAAAAGTGAAGACATGGATAATTTTTAACAAAATAAAACTAAAAATGACTAGCATATACTAGTAAATACATGAATAAATGTTTGGCTGTAAGTAAATATATGCCATCAGATTTTCCAAAATCCTATTTAGAACCCTACTTGTAGCCTTATATTCAGTGATTCCATTTCTGAAAACCTAACCACAAAGGAGAAAGCAAAATCTCAATATGGTTTTAATGAGAAACCCCATATCCACTTCCAGCAAGTAGATTCCAATTCATAGCGAACCTGTTAAGGTTTTCCAAGGCTGTAAATCCTTATGGGTGCAGAAAGCCTCATCTTTCTACCTCCAAGCAACTGTCAGTTTGTCATACTATGGTGGCTTCTGTGTTGCTGTGATGCTGGAAGCTATGCCACCAGTATTTTCTGACACTATAAGATAAGCACTGGACCATAAGGTCAGTTTGGACAGCATGGTTGGTAGTTCAAACTCACCAGACGCTCCTCGGAAACCTTATACAGGGTTGATATGAGTAGAATTGACTCTTACGACACTTACAAGCAACAACATACAGTCGCATGGTGGACAGGTTTCAGATGAGCTTCCAGACTAAGACAGACTAGGAAGAAAGAGTGACAAACTACTTCTGAACGTTTAGTGACTGGAACATTCTCAGATAGCACCAGAATATTGAATATTGAGACATGATGAATAGTGCCATAATATTGTCAGATATCCTACCAGAAGATGAACCCATATTTTGGAAGGCACTCAAAATATGACTAGGGAAGAGCTGGCTCCTCAAAGTACAGTTGACTGTGATGACACAAATGGAGTAAAGCTTTCAGGACCTTCATTTACTAAAGGGGCACAACTCAAAATGAGAAGAAACAGCTGTAAACAACCACTGGACCAATCCATAGCATCGTGATAAATGGAGAGAAGATTGAAGTTGTCAAAGACTGCATTGTGCTTTGATCCACCATCAGAACTCATGAAAGCAGCAGTCATAAAATCAAATGACATACTGTGTTAGGTGCATCTGCTGCACAGGACAGACCTCTTTAAAGTGCTCAAGAGCAAAGATATCAGTTTAAAGGCTAAGGTACCTGACCCAAGCAATGATATTTTCAGTGTCTTCATAATGCATTTGAAAGTTGGACAGTGAATAAGGAAGACCACAGAGGAATTGATGCATTCGAGTTATGGTTTGTAGAAGAGTATTAAAATCACCATGGACTGCCAGAAGAACAAATAAATTCAGCGTTGGAAAAAGTACGGCCAGAATGTTCCTTGGAAGCCATGATGGCTGTACTTCGCCTCTCATACTTGAGACTTATTATCAGAAAGGACCAGTTCCTGGGGAAGGATATCGTGCTTGTTAAAGCGGAGGGTAAACGAAAAAGAAGAAGACTCCTAATGAGATGGGTTGGCATAGAACCAGCAACAGTGGGCTCAGTTGTGATAATGATTGTAAGATTGCTGAAGGACCTTTGCAGAGTTTCATTCTGTTGTGCAATATGTTGCTCTAAGATAGAACTGACTCAGCGGCACCTAGCAACAACAACAATGTACAGCCAAGGGATCCCTGGTTGTGCAAAAGTTGAACACTCTGTTGCTAATCTAAAAATTGGTGATTTCAACCCACCAGCTCCTCTCAGAGTGAAATCACCTGGCAACCTGTTCCCATAAAGATGTCAGTTTAGGAAACCCTCTGGGACAGTTCTGCCCTGTCCTTTGGGTTCTCTATGAGTCCAAATCATTTTGGTGATACACACAACAACAGCATGTACAAACAAAATAATGAACTTCAGTAAGAAGTAATGTGAAGTCACAAACTATAAGTAGTAAGACCCATTTACATCCTGATCTCTGTGGCCTTAACCTCTTGTTCTTAGTTATAAATGCCATCTGCCTACCAGTTTAAACCAGAGATTTGCTTGTGAATCTTAGGGATGCAGGGAGTTTTTCATTATAAAATCTATTGCAGGTTGTGGAAGCATAAGTAATAAAATGTATATGGCTTTGGTATTAATTTTTTAAATTAGACTATAATGCATGTCTTTCTGCCTCTGTCTGACAGTTTTCCTAATGGTCTGTATTCACAGAAGTTTTGAAAAATGTTTTTAAAATGTTTTCCTGGGTAGGTATAGAATATATCATTGTTCCACAGCCATAGGTATCTTTTCTTTTTGTCTTGACTGTTTTCAGGAATTACTGGTGATTATTTAGTTTTCATTAAACTGTGTATTTCCTATGGTCCAGTATGCTATCAGGTTTAGTGCTGTGTGATAATGGGATAATGCACTGCACTGCAGGGTCATTTTGAACCAGAAGGTTGGTGGTTTAAGCTCACCAAAGACTCCTCAAAAACCTATGCAGAGTTACTATGAGTTGGAATTGACTCTGCAGCACTTGACAACACCACCACCAACAAAATGTCCTGGTGTAGCACTGTAGGGTAAACACTGGACCGCAAACCACAAGATTGGCAGTTCAAACTCACTAGCTGCGCCTGGGAAACCCTATACAGGGTAGACGGCACTTAACAACAACATGTTACCACACATTCACAGTTTGTGTTTTCAGAACTCTGAAACCCAAAGAGCACTGAAAACCTTGACTCATTTGGTAGTAAAATTGGATCCTCAGTAACATATGAGGCTGGTGTCCTGGTGTGGTGCTGTAGGATAAGCATTCAACCTTAAGATAGGTTTAAACTGCAAGGTTGGTGAGTCACACTCACCAGCCGCTTCTCAGAAACCCTATACAGGGTTTCTATGAGTTGGAACCAACTCCACAGCACTTTACAACAACAGTAACAGCATGAGAATATTTATATAGTATTTATTTATTTATCTTGTTGTTGTTGTTGTTGTTAAGTACCATGGAGTCGGTTCCAATTCATAGTGACCCTGCACAGGGTTTCTGAGTCTGTAAATCTTTACAGGAGCAGAAAGTCTCATCTTTCTTCCGCAGAACCACTGGTAGTTTTGAACTGCTGATCTTGAAGTTAGCAGCCCGATTCGTAACCATTACGCTCCTTATACTGTATGAAATATACATGTATATATCTCAAATTGTTCCGTCTTTATTAGCTAATGTGAAACTTTGAAGAAAATAAACCATTCCACAACTAATCGTAGTACTCATGGAAAGATAAGGAAACTTGTATGATTTATCTAATTGAAAATTATTTTATTTTACTTACAGAGTAGTAAGCATGACAAAATGTTTTCTCTCAGTTCCATGAAGTTTTATCTTGGAGTGAAAAAGAAAGTGAAGCCCCCAACCAGGTAAAGTTTGAAAGGCAAATATTATTGAGAGGAAGAAATTATGGGGAACTATGTCCTTCCAAGGAGCCCTAGTGTGATGCTGTAGGGATAAAGCATTGGACCGTGAGGTCCATTTGAACCACAAGGTTAGCAGTTCAAATCCACCAGTCATTCCTGGGGAACTCTATACAGGGTCACTATGAGTCAGAACCAACAAAACAGCACTTGACAATAACAACAGCAAAATGTCTTGGTGTGGTGCTGTAGTATAAGCACTAGACTGCCGACCACAAGTTTAGCAATTCAAACACACCAGCAGCCTCTCATAGGAAACCCTATATAATGTCTCTTTGAGCTGGGACCAATTGGATGGCACTTAACAACAACATGGTTGAATATTTAAGCATCAGCGGCATTGGCCTGCCTTTTTCATAAGTTAAGTTTTAGACAGTATATTTAAGTTGCAACTTCTGTAGCAGGGATGTTATCACAGAGCAAAGAGCGAGGTGGTTTTCCTGCTGAGAGTAGGGTCAAGCTGATTACTGCCTCTCTTGTATAAGGCCAAGAAATCCCCAGGAGGCCCTGCCTGCTGGGAAGCATCTGGAACCCTCTGCTTCCCACTTCTTTATCAGTCATAGCCCAGGGACAGACAGCATGATTTAATTTGGTCAAGTACACACTGGAAATCAAATGTTCCACCCCAGCCTCTTGCTACTTGGCTCCTAGGAATTCCGGCCCTGACTCTCTAATTTGTTCCTTTTTATAGTGAACATTTTCAATCAGCTACGTTTAATACTGAATACAGAACATAAATAGAGTTTACCTGACTTCTACTGAATGTATCTCCTAAAGTTTAAGTCACCCTTAGCATTTGGTTTATACTACACTTTATTATTACTGATGAATTTGACTAGCTAATATATGTCTATAACTAATATTTTTATAAATATGAAACAGTGTAATAAATAGTATATACTTCCTTTTCTGGTTGTATTACTGGAAAGTTCTTCAATTTTGCCTCCATACTTAACTTCTAAGTTAAGTACATATACCTATGTTACTATTAGCACATTCTTTAATTTACTCCGATATCAGTAGGTCAGTATGTATTTTATCTTATTCTGGCTACTTTCCCAGGCATTTGTTCTTATTTAGCCAAGAGAATCTTGTTTGAATTCTCCCTCCAGGAAGTGTCGAGTCCTCACATGAGTATCTGAACTTAGTATGCACGCCTACCATTAGCTGTTGCCTCTTTAACAATTTTTTTTCAGTCTTATAAGATTTTCTATTTTAATGTGTGTATGTTTTGGGTTTTTTTTCCCATGTGATACAGTTGGGGATTGACTGCTTATTCTGAAAAGCATCACTGGTAAGTTGAAAATTGGCAACTTTTGTATTTGCTATATTGGTGACAACCTCTGTAAACAAGTAACTTTATTATGTGGCACACAGAAATACAGATAAGAAATGTTTCTTTCACCTGCCTGAAGTTGAAATCTTTTCCAAATACTTTGAGTATAAGAACAGAAAATGAAATATCTATCAGGATTCAGGTCTCTTCCAACCCTATGTACTGAATTACACAATGCCCTTTAAAATAAATATATCTAAATTTTTCCATACTTATTAGTGTAGACCCCCAGATTTATTAGGATAATATAAGCCAAGATTTTTTTGAAAAATATATGTAAGCCACATCTCAGTATTTGAAAAATACATAGGTTTCAAACCTATTTTTCTACATATATATGTACTTTTTTCTCATCGATATTACTGTTGTTTTTCTACCAATTTCCCTGGAAGTTTTACCAGATTTCTCTTTCTTGCTCAATTATTTGTATCTAATTATTCAATGTTGTTGTTGTTGTTGTTGTTACGTGCCCTTGAATCAATACTGATTCATAGTGACCTTGTATAGGGTTTCTGAGGAGGATCTGGTAGATTTGAACCACCGACCTTGCAGTTACAACTGACGTTGAGGTCTAGTGCATATCCTAGAGTGCTGCATCATGTCAGTTTGGCCTCTGGAGAAGTCTGTGCCATGCCAGATTTATCTTCATCTTCTTGGATTACTTTAGGAATCGCTAAATGCTCCTAATGCCTCTGACATCCTGGCATCAGAAAGATATTTCTAACCTGTATTGTGTTTCTCTGCTGCCTTAAAACTTAAAAGCCAAAGATTCTTGCATGAAATGCAAGGCCCTGTAATATGTGACTCCTCAGCTTTATCTCCTATGATGTTTTCTTTTTATTTATGATAAAACAATAATCTGCCTTGAATTTAATTCATCATACATTGCTTGCTGCTTCATAAAATGACCTCTATATTTGCATATTTTTTGTATGTCATCTTTTTACTGGTCACCCTCTCTGTGTTTCCTGACCACAGTCACCTTCTCCTTGTTAATCTGATAGACACCTCCATAGTTCTTCATTCAAAGCATGCCTCAAGTGACCCAAAAGTCTTACCAGATAACTCTTATGTTTACATATCATCATTTGCTTCTTTGTACTTATAATATTTTGCATACATGGATTAATAACTAAGATATCTGTGGGGGAAAAGTTTACTTGGCATTTAGTAATAGGAAGGGACAATGTCTCAATAAGCTAATGAAGGAAGCAAAAGTTTTGAGAAATTTAATTTTTCACTTTTTTTCAAATGGGTTTTTTTGTTTGGGAATATAAAAACTATATGTATTGAAATTATATTGAAATCTCCATTGCCTCATTCCAACATTAGATACTTGCTTGTCACTTGGTCATACTATGTTGGCAGCTTGCATGTTGCTGTGATTCTGGAAGCTATTCCACTGGTATTTTAAATACCAGTAGGGTCACCCATGGTGGACAGGTTTCAGCTGAGCTTCTAGACAAAGACAGACTATTAAAACAGACTTTGAAGAAGGAGAGATTGACTAGTTCCCTATATTTGGTCACTGAAAACCTTATGAATAGCAGTGGCATATTTTTAGCACCAGAATATTAAATATTCTGGTGAAACATTATGAACAGCACCAGAATATTGTCAGATATAGTGCCAGAAAAAAAGCCCCTCAAGTTGGAAGGTACTCAAAAATGTGACTAGGAAAGAGCCGTCTGCTCAAAGCAGAGTTGACTGTGATGACGCAAATGGAGTACAGTTTTCAGGACCACCACATGCTTACGGGGCACAACTCAAAATGAGGAGAAATGTCTGTAAACATCCTTTAATAATCAGAAACTGGAATGTGAGAAATAATGGATGTAGAAAAATGGAAACTGTCAAAAATGAAAGACAATGCATATACATTGCTATCCTAGCTGACATGGTGAGCCTGTTTTGAATCTGACAATCAACTGATTTCCTATGTCAGAACTGACAAATTGAAGAGGACTGGCATCACATTCATCATCAAAAAGAACATATCAAGACCTGTTTTGAAGTACAACGCTGTCTGTGATAGGATAATATCCATACACCTCCAAGGAAGACAGGTTAATACAATTATTATTCAAATTTACTCATCGACCATTAAAGCCAGTTGATGAGAAAAATTGAAGAATTGTACCAATTTCTTCAGTATAAAATCGATCAAACATGCAATCAGTATGTATTGACAATTACTGATGATTGGAATGCAAAGGTTAGAAACAAAGAGGAAGAATCAGTAGTTGGGAAATACGGCCTTGGTGATAGAAACAATGCCAACAATCACATGATAGAATTTTGCAACACCAATGACTTCTAGATTGCAAATACCATTTTTAAACAATATAAAAGATGATTATACATATGGACCTCACCAGATGGAATACACAGAAATCAAATTGACTACATCTGTGGAAACAGAAGGTGAAAAAGTTCCATATCGTCAGACAAAACCAGGCCAATGGTGAACTTTCAACTTCAGTTCACATGAAAGTTCATGTTAAAGCTAAAGAAAATTATAAAAAGTTTGCAGAAGCCAAAATTTGAGCCTTAACATATTCCACCTGAATTTAGAGATCATCCTAAGAACATATTTGATGAATTAAACACTAATGACTTAAGACCAGAAGAGTTGTGTGATATCAACAACATCATACAGGAAGAAAGCAAAAGTACCTAAAGAAGACAAGAAAGAAGGAAAAGACCAAAATGGATGCCAGAAGAGACTCCGAAACTTACTCTCCAGCATAAAGATGCTAAAGCAAAAGAAGAAATGAGGAGGGAAAATAGCTGAACAGAAAAATTTAATGGGAAGCTTGAGAAGACAAAGTCAAAAAGAATAATGAAATGTGCAAAAACCTGGAGTTAGAAATCCAGAAGGGAAGAACAAGCACAGAATTTTTCAAGCTGAGGGAACTGAAGAAAAAAATTCAAGGCTTGAGTTGCAGTGTTGAAGGATTCTGTGGACAGAATATTGAATGATACAGAAAGCATCAAAAGAAGATGGAAGGAATACAGAATCATGGTACCAAAAAGAAATGGTCGATAATCACCCATTTCAAGAGAGTGCATATGATCAAGAGCCAATGATGCTGAAGGAAGAAGTTCAAAGTGAATTGGCAATGAACAGGGTTCTGGGAATTGATGGAATAAAACTTGAAATCTTTTAACAAACTGATGGGACACTAGAGTTACACAGTCATCTATGCCTAGAAATTTGGGAGACAGCTGCCTGGCCAACTGTGTGGATCCATATTTGTTCCCATTCAAAAGAGAGGTGACCCAACAGAATGTGGAAATCATCAGACAATATCATTAATATCACATGTAAGTAAACTTCCTAATGATACTTCAAAAAGGTTACAGCAGTACATTGACATAGAACTGCCAGAGGTTTAGGTTGGATACAAAAGAGAACGTGGAGCGAGGGATATCATTGCTGATATCAGATGGATCTTGGCTGAAAGCAGAGAATACCAAAAAGTTGTTTATCTGTGCTTATTGACTAAGCAGTGACTTCTGATTGTGTGAATCATAACAAGCTTTGGACAACATTGCAGAGAATGAGTATTTCAGAACACTTAATTGTGCTCAGGAGAAACCTGTATGTGGATCAAGAGCCAGTTTTTCTAACAGAACTGAGTAAGTTGTGCAACAGGGTTGTATTCTTTCACTATACTTACTCAATCTGTATACTGAACAAATCATCCAAGAAATTGGATTATATGGACAAGAATGTGTCATCTGGATTGGAGGAAGTCTCATTAACAACCTGTGATATGCAAATGATACAACCTTGCTGGCTGAAAGTGAAAAGGACTTAAAATACTTCCCGATGACGTTAAAACACAGAGTTTGGAATGGGTTGCACTCAATGTAAAGAAAACAAAATCCTCACCACTGGACCAATAATTATCCATTTAAATGGAGAAAAGATTGAAGTCATCTAAGACTTTAGTTTGCTCAGGTCAACCATCAACTCTCATGGAAGTAGCAGTCAAGAAATCAAATAGAGTGTTGTATTAAGCACATCTGCTGCACAAGACTTCCTTTAAAGTATTCAAGAGCATAGATATCAGTATGAGGAAAAGGTCCACCTGACCCAAGCCATTGTATTTTAAATACCCTCATATGCATGCAAAAGTTGGACAATGAATAAAGAAGACTGAAGAATTGATCCATTTGACATATGGTGCTGGAGCAGAATATTAAAAGTAAGATGGACTGCAAAAAGAACAAACTATTTGTGTTGGAAGAGGTACTACTAAGCCAGGATGCCAAACTTCGTCTCTCATAATTCGGGCATATCCTCAGGAAAGACAACGTGCTTAGTAAAGGTGGAGGGTCAGCGAAAATGAGTAAGACCCCCAATGAGATGGATTGACACAGTGGCAGCAGCAATGGGCTCAAGTGTAGCAGCGATTGTGAGGTTGGCACAGGACTGGGCGATATTTTGTTCTGTTGTACAGAAGATTTCTGAGTCGGTATAACAACAAACATACATCCAGTACAAAATTTTACCTTTGGAAACATCTCACACCTCATCCCCTAGTCTCCTGTTTCTGTTTTTGTGTCCAATTTTGCATTTTTTGCCATTTGATTTCTTTTTAATGAGTCTTCTGGGTATGAGTGTTCATGACCAGAATGATGGAGACTATGTGTGAGCCTTTTTTTTTTTTTTAAGACCTGTTGTTAATAGAATATACATGCATTTTTTTCCTGGGACTGGGGGAGAGGGTAGTTTAAATAACATTGATCTTCTGTTTTTCCAAAAATATTACTAATTTGTTTCTCAGCATTTACCAGAGTCTTTAGATAGCTATATTTTAAACAACTTAACATCCTACCATCATCACTATTTTGATATTTTACAGTTTAACAGTGGCCTAAAGCAACCTCCTACCAAATATTCTACTTTTGATGCATGAAGTCATTATTCAGGGAAAACCCAAAGATATCTCTAATCTAGAACACCAGACAAATGCACCAAAGACAAGTCCATTGCTTTTGATGATTATTAATTTTATAAACCTTGTTTTGCAGGTATCTTTGCTGTGATAGCTTACAAACTCAGATGGAATGGATGGCCAGTGTTTTTATTGCCCAGGTATGATATATCTGAACCAACAGCACACCACCACCACCACCACGATATATATATATTTCAACTATTTGTATATATTAATAGAAATATGGATATACACACACATACAAGGTGGGGAGGGGGTGGCCCTATAGGATAAACATTCGGCTGTTCCTCATGAGAAAATTGAGGCTTTCTGCTCCCATAAAGACTTACAGCCTCGGAAACCCTATAAAGGGGAGTTGTGAGTTGGAATTGACTCTATGGCAATGAGTTTGGGTTTTATATCCAGAGAGAGAGTGCCCTGTTGGCACAAGTGGTTAAGCTATCAATGGCTAATAGAAGGTCGCTGGTTTGAACCCACCAGCAGCTCTGTGGGAGAAAGATGTGCCTCAATGAGATTTACAGCCTTATAGATGGGGCAGTTCTATAGGGTTGTTACCAGTTGGAATCACCTTGACAGTGATAGGAGATAAACACACACGCGTACAAATATACACACACATATATAAGAGGACACTTTAAAAGGTTCTTTGGAAAGTGGAATTAAAAGATAATTCAGCTTTGTTTAGGGGAAGTGTTAGTGTGATTTTCACATAATTTTAAAGGAGTTTTATGTGTATGTATTTGGCATAAGCCTTAATTTTTTTATTCATGTTAAAAAAAAAAAAAAGTGAGAATTTAAACATATCCATTACCTTTGGAAAGAATACAGTAAGCTTCTCTGTAGAGGCTTCTGTTTTGCCAGTCCCAGCCATTTCTTAACTTAGGAGCAGTAGATAGGCTTGTGGGTAGAATTGGAAAAAGAGTTGTCTAAACTGCCATTCTCACAGAATCCCCAGTGGATTTTGTTGTTGTTACATGAAATCAGTTTTGACTCATAGCAACCCTGTATAGGGGTTTCTGAGTCATTTAAAATCTTTTGCAGGAGCAGAAATCCTCATCTTTCTCCCTTGTAGTGGCTGGTAGATTCGAACTATCCACCTTGTGGTTCCCAGTCCAGTGCTTATCCTATGGAGCTACTGTGTACCTTCCTAGTGTATTTTAGTTTCATTAAATATTCTGTTTTCCTTCTTATTTTCCCAGTGGCCTCTTATGCTTCCCAAGCCTGTTTCCAGAAACAAGAAAGGGAACCTAATTTCTTTAATACCTATTTGTATTCCAGATATTTTTAAGTATCAGCTCATAAATTCTTTGTAACAATCCACACATGGTGTTAAAGTGGTTTCAATTTCTAGATACAGAAGTAAAGGTTAACAAATATTCCATCTCTTGCCCAGGAACTTATATTTAGTTCATGGTTCAAATCCAGGGGTGTCTGAGACCAACACTGATACCCAGATCCCCATTCAGTATCCTCCCTAAGAAAGATCTCACTCTTTAGGGAAAGGGGTAAATAGTCTCATTAATGGAACTGGATTTTTTTCCAACCTTGTCTGTCTGCATTCCCAGCAATACTTTCCACAAGAACATTGAAATTCACTGGTAACAATTAAGTTGTCACTCTTTATTACTAAAGGTGTTTTCCAGTTTACTTTCCTGTTTCTCTGAGAAGTGTGAAGCTAACCCACCACAAAACCTTGTTCTAAGTTGTTCTGAAAACACTTTGTCTCTCTTCACTTAAGTTATTAACCTTTGCAGTAGTTAGTAAACATTGTTCCTCTTAGTCCAATTCTACAAATACTTCCTGGGAATAACATTGGCAGAAACAGACTGGCTACTAATTTGGGACATGTTTCTTTTCAAGACTTTTTACAATTCAGATGTTCAAGCATTACTTAAAAAAAAAGAAAAAAAAAAAAGGACATATTTTAGGAAAATTCATAGAAAATTCATAGTCAAAAGATGAATTTTTGGTCTTGATTTTGTTTTAAATTTTATAGACAGTAATTGAAAGTCCAAGCAGGAGTGGCCATGGAGCCTGGATTAGGCTGTTTCTCACTGTATCCAGAGACTTAGCCCAATTAGTTTTCTTCTGCCTCAGCCAGCTTTTAGGTTTATTTATTTCTTCCCTCTGAATGCAAAGGCCTTCTAGAATCTAAGGCAATGTTTAAAAATATAAATATAGGCACACACTAAAAAAAAAAAAAAAAGTGAAACCCAAACCTACTGCTGTCAATTCCAACTCACAGTGATCCTATAAATACACGTAAACTAGGAGTCACTGCTCCTGCCCTATAATTCATAATGTTTTTGCTGCAGAGAATACTGGAATGTTTGCCCAATAACCATCGCCTTCCTTGCGTCTGCTTCAAAAGTCATCTAGATTGCAGCTTAAATACCACATTCTTAAAGTAACTTTCCTTGACTTCAAATCACTTAGACCTTCAGAGTATAGGTCACAAAGATGAGGAAGGCAGAGAAGTTACCATGTAGTCCATGTTTGGTGGTGATGGTGGGTGTGTGCTGTGGAGTTGGCTCTGACTCATAGTCACCCTATATACAGCTTTCAAGGATGTAAATCTTTACAAGAGCAGAAAGCCTCCTCATCTTTCTCCTGAGTGGCTGGTAAATTAGAACTGCTTATCTTGCAATTAGCAGACCAACTTGATAACCCATTATGCTATCAGGACTCCTTAGTCCATATATTGTTGTTGTTCAGTGTTACTGAGTTGGTTCCAACTCATAGTCACTCTGTATAGGGTTTCTAAGAAGTGGCTGGTGGGTTTGAACCACCGACCTTGTGGTTAACAGCTTATCCTACAGAGACTCCGGTCCATGTATGGTAGTTAGAATTTTATACTAAGTTTACAGAAAAAGAGTGGAAAGGTATGATCTTATTTGCATTTATTTAAAGAACAACAGAATTTGGGTTATTTGTTAAGGCTGCACGATAGGGGAGCAAAAGTGAAAGCAGGAAGAACATCTATATGAAGGCAGGTGGTAACTCAGACCAAAGGTGGTAACAATGAAGATGGTATGGCATGTTCAGACTCAAGAATATTTAGAATGTAGAACCAATAAGATTTTCTGACAGTTTGGCTACATGTATCAGGTGAGAGAAAGAGCAAAAATCAAGGAAGAATCCTAATTTGGGGGCTTTGGCAGTAGCAAATGCAAACTGTATTACCTGAGATACAGAAGAAAATTTCGAGTTCTGTTTTGACCATATGAAGTTTGCAGTGCCCCTTGTCTTATGCAGAGTCATAGGTTAGATACAAGGATCTAAAGCTTAAAGACATGTTTGAGGCTGAAATAGCAAACCAGTATAGAGTTACTGAAGGACCTCTGGTAGCGTAGTGGTTACGAATCAGGCTGCGAACCGCAAGGTCAGAAGTTCGAAACTACCAGCTGTTCCGCAGGAGAAAGATGAGGCTTTCTGCTCCTGTAAAGATTTACAGCCTCGGAAACCCTGTACAGGGTTGCTATGAGTCGGAACTGACTCCATGGCACACAACAACATAGAGTTACTGAGCAGCGGATGGTGGGTTTGAATTGCTCACCTTGCGGTTAGCAGTCCAGTGCTTGTCCTACAGCACCACACCAGTACTCTGTAGGACATTTGTTGTTGTTGTTATTGTTGTTAAGTGCCATGAGTCAGTTCTGACCCATAGTGACCCCTATATAGGGTTTCCAAGGAGTGGCTGGTAAGCATGAACCACCAAACTTGTAGTTCAGTCTGACTTTACAGTTCAGTGCATTAACCCACAGCACCACACCAGGCTTCCTGTAGGGCATTTATATATTTCTAAGTTTTATATATATGTGTGTGAATATATAAATATATATGCAAATAATATAAATGAATAAAATGGGCTCCTGGTGACTACTTATCCATATGCACACACATGTATGTAATGTGTATGAACATTCATAACATGTAACAAAGCTTGTTAAGTACTGTCAAGTCAGATCTAACTCATAGTGACCGTGTGTGTGTGTGTGTGTGTGTGTGTGTGTGTGTGTTTTAGTGTCTGTGTGTTTCCAAGGCACAGCTGGTGAGTTTAAACCACCAACCTTGCAGTCCAGTGCTTTATCCTACAGCACCACACTTCCAAACTTTAAATAGTAAAATAAAAAGAAAATAACTCCAAAAGAAGTAAAAAGGGGGGAGGGCGGAGGAAAACTGCAAACCAGGAGATGAGTAAAGAAAATTTTTTAAGAATTCTTGCTGTAAAAATAGATAAAGCAAAAAAGATAAAATAGATAAATGTTGGTGTTAGAAACAAGTCAAGGGAGTCTAGAGGGGTTTAGATTTGTTGATATTTATAATGGGAGCATATATAGTTTGCATATCTGTTGATAGATACAACAAAGTAGTTGGAAACAAAATGATTATGGGGAGGAGCAATATTGCTACAGCAGAGGTCCTGGGCACCTCAAAAACAATGTCATCAAATGCATAGTTATACGTCATTGATTCCAATGGGTGCTGACTGATTGCAGGAACTGAGGTGATCACTTACATGACTACATATGCTGGAAGATTTCTCTCCTTTATGCTGGAAAACTGAGATCCTTAAATGGTTACTAATAATATTTTAATCAAACCTTAAGGTCCTCATCGGTTGTGGTGGGGTAAGCCATTAGAAGTATAAAGACAGAGGAAAGGAGGAGAAATACTCATCAGAGAGTAAGAAATCCACTGTCCTGTAGTAGAAAGAACTTCAAGGTAATACTGAGTGCTCACTGACAACGGAAGGTCGAATTGAGAGTGAGATGGAGCCTGAGATGATATAACTACCTCCATCCATTTGGCAGGCAACACCTAAAAGTACAGAATTGTATTTAACTAGGTTTAGGACTTAGGCTAGTGTGATTGAGAATCACTTATTTCTTTCCTAGCCAGTTTTCTTTCCAGCTTTACACATTGGGAAAATCCTAGTTATGTAAGATCACAGTCATTTTTACCAAATCTGTAACTATGATGTAAAATAGTAACACGATGGTGGTTGTGTGCTGTGGAATCGGTTCCAAGTCATAGCCAGCCTGTATAGCGTGTCCAAGGCTATAACTATTTACAGGAGCAGAAAGCCTCATCTTTCTGCCTTGGAGTAGCTAGTAGATTCAAACTACTGGCCTTGTGTGATTAGTAGTCCAACTTGAAATGCACTACACTTCTGGGACTCCAAAATAGTGATATGATTCTTGGAACTTGATCTCTGGTTGAAATATTGCATAATCTATCATTGTAGCTTTCATGAACCAAAGTAAAATCGAAGTGTAGATACAGTGCACATACTCTGAGTCTAAAAAGTATTGCAATGATTGTTGTTCAGTGCTGTCAAATCAGTTCCAACTGATAGCAACCCTGTGTAAGTAAGGTTTCCAAGAAGTGGCTGGTGGGTTTAAACTGCCGCCCTTGCAGTTAGCATTCCAGTGTTCATCCTACAGTGACACACCAGTACTCCATTAGGATTGTTGTTAAGTGACCTGGAATTGGTTCCAACCATAGCAACCTGTATAGGGTTTCTGAGGTGTGGCTGGTGTGCTTGAACCACCAACCTTGCAGTTCAAACTGACCTTCCAGTCCAGTACATTAACCCACAGTGCCACACCAGGACTCCCCATTAGGATTGTTGCTATTGTTAAGTGCCATCGAGTCGGTTTTGACCCATAGCAGCCCTGGATAGGGTTTCTGAAGAGTGGCTGGTGACCTTGAACTGCCCTACCTTGTGGTTCAAACAGCTTTGCTGTCCATCGCATTAACCCACAACACCACACCAGGACTCCCCCATTAGGATTATTGAGGATTAAATTATATACTGCATGAGTAAGTCAAGAAAATTGATAACTAGGGTTCTGGTTTGTACAGGCATTGGCTTATCTAAAACAAAATATGTTTAAACGTGTCTCTTCAATCCATGAATGGCTGCACACACGTTCTCTCAGTAATACAGTTGTCTTAGTCTCTTAAGGATGCCTTCAAAAAAACAAAAGAAAGGTTCCACCACTGGCATCTAATGGAATGTGTTTGGCCAATTCAATTCAAGGCAGAAAGTTATGATGACTTTTTGTTTTGTTTTGTTTTGATTTTTTAACTCTAAACATGTAATCTTGATAGATTTTCTTGAAGGACACAAGACAATCATGGGAGCTTATTAGGAAGAAGTTTTAAAGAAACTGCATTGATATGGGAAAAAAGGCCAGGAGTTTGTTTTTCCAGCACCTGCACAATCTTCAAGAGTGATCATTTCATTGGGAAACTACCCCATCCATCCTGTTGACCTGATCTTGTCTCTTCTGATTTCTTCTTGTTCCCAAATTTCAAAGAACTTTTTAAAGGAACATGAATTGAGTCCCTTCCAGGATGCCAAAACTGCCATTTTGATGTAAATTGTAGAGCCCAGAATTCTTCAGTGAAAGTTTGTTGTTGTTAAGTGCCATCAAGTCAGTTCCAACCCACAGGACCTGTAAAGGGTTCCGAGCTTGAACCACCCACCTTGCAGTTCAAATGGCTTTGCAGTCTGGTGCATTTGGAAATACTGCCTTCAGAAGTATATGGACCTAAATGGAGAATTATATTGAGAAACAATAACTTCACGTTTGATATTTTTGACTTAAAAAGGTTTCTCTGATTTTGTAGCAATACTTTGTGACTGGTACATGTAAACTACTAAGAACAAACCGTGATAAAATGTCCCTCAATACAAATTAGATATGAGAAAATTAGACTGTTTGCTACCATAAAGATTTACAGAGTCAAAATCGACTCAGTGGCGGTGGTTTGGTTTTGAGTTTTTGTAGAGTTTTTTTGGTATTATTATATAATGGTACATAGGAAATAGTTGTTGAAATTAGTTATCTGCTACAAAACACCACAATAAAATGCTAATTGTGATATGAAAAAGTCAAGAATCAAAAAGAATTGAGGAAAATAAGAGTAGGCATTTAGCTGCATAGCTTACCAAATGGTTTTTATTCTTCAGAACATCTTTAAAATGTCTTTACTTTATAGGTGGTATTTTGTAGTTCTCTCATAGATTGCTGTTTGAAAATCAATTTGCTTTTCCCAACTTCTGAAAAGTTCATCTTTCCTGAGAAATACAAAAAAACTCTATAAAGATTTTTCTTTTGTATGCATATCTCAAGGATTTATCACTTATGTTTATATATTTATCTTTGGATATTTACCCCCATTCCAAATATATCTTTTCTCCAGTCATATCTATAATTTCTTAGTGGGTCAGAATATGTAGACAGTATGTTGACAACAAATTTGCCACACTCTGTTGTACAATGATTTTCAGTATAAGTGTCTGTAAAAGATAACATTCTGGAATTTGATTAGATGAAAAAGTAACATTTTTTAAAGGTTATAAAATAAATCTAGCTTTTCTGATAACCATGCCTCGGGTTGATTTTTGGCATATAAGATCAAATTATTTTTATACTAAAATCATCTTTGGTGAACAGAAAAAGTAAATATGTTGTTGCTTTAATTACAGGGCCTAGAAATGTAGACAAGTTGCTGTTGTCGTTTGCATCCTACAATGAGATTTGTTGGCTTCTTCAAATATTTTCCCCCTTTTGGTCTTATAAGTAATATAGATGGTCTGTATTTGAAACTTAGAAATTGAACTGAGACAGAAAAGCTCAGCTCACTTTGCAGTTTCATATCCTGGAGCAACGCTGCCATGGAGGCAGCGTTATCATTATAAATGGCCTTCTCATGGAAAGTAGATCATCTGATGTAGATATATGAAACAGGGTCCCAGAGACTATATAACATGGTGCCATGCATAATAAAATCACATGCCTACAGCAAAAGCTTCTGTTTCCACAGCATGAAAATGATATATGGCCACCAGCTGGAAAGGAACGAAAACGCTCTATTACCAAAAATCCCAAAATCGGAGGTTTGCCTTTAATTCCCATTCAACATGAGGGAAATGCAACGCTATCCCGGAGAAATATCGAGGTAGGTTAGGAATGTATTTGCTGTATAATTGCAGAAATGGAATGAAATTATCATATTGTTTTCCTATACATTGATGTGATTTCAAAAGCACAATAATAATCACTTTGAAACACATAGTAGCAATTACACAAATCATGAACATTAGGACTGATCCTGTGCAGCTCTTTAAATTTTCATGGTATTTTTTTTTTTAACTTAAATGTTTTGTTTTATTTTAATAATATCACTGACCACACAAGAAAATATAGACAATATCACTTACTCTCTTATATCTAAGCAGTTTTAAATATGCAAACAGAAATTCTGGTGATTAAATCAAGACACATATTGGTCTTACAAATTAACTAATATCACTCTTAGCATGAGCTTTGGGCAGAATGTGTCTGGAGCCATGGCAACTAGACTTGCTGATAACCCAATCAGATTCCACTGGTTTGGTAAATGATGGGCTGTCTCGATTACTTTAAGAATCTGGATGATTGCCTCTGACAATTAGTAAAGAAGATTTGGCATCTTTCAAGAAGACTGCCATTGTTTTTGTCCTTCACCTTGAGGGGAGAGGAGCACATAAGAACATCCATCTTGCCCTGAAGATCAGTCTTTTCAGAGAACAGCATAGGTTCTTATCTCTCAAAACACATTAGAAACACTAATGTATGTTTCAGTGCTTTAATTGAGACCTTCAGTAGGAAAAACAAATTTATATTTTAAAACTGTTAGATCGTCTTTGAGTCTCAATTTAGAGTTAGGATCTAAACTCAGTTTAGAGTTGAAGCTCTAGCTTACCTAACAGATGAAAGCCATTTTAGTCATCAGATTTTTAAGATGTTTTTTCATGTGTATCTCTCTTGAATTTTACTGTAATATACATCTCTAAAATATGAAATGTTGGAAGATAATGATTTATTTCTGTTGTTGCCCTCTGCATTGGTGTAACCAAGGGAAAGAGTAGAGCTCAAAAAAAGTATGCCCTTGTCACTCCAGCCACTATACAATACAATACACTATCCACTATACAATACAATATACTATCCACTATACAATACAATGCACTATCCACTATACAATACAATACACTATACAGTACAGCTGTTCGTGGTCATAAACAGTTCTGCAGAGCTTTGGAGTCTTTAGCTAACCTAGAATCTGAAAATTCTGTGAATCACATTTCCCAGGCACCAAGATCATGAGACACAGTTTGAACAAAAGAAGTTACCAGAGGTTCTAGGTCCACCCTGTAATAATCCTAGGCTCTGCTGATACTGTTTTAGGATTTATTATTGTGCAAAGACTTGTTTGAAGTTATAGGATAAGCACTAGACTGCTATTTGCAAGGTCAGCAGTTCAATCCCACCAGCTACTCCTAGCTACTCCTTGGAAAGCTTGTACAGGGTCAGTATGAGTTGGAAGGAACTCCATGGCACTTAACTACAAAAACAGCAACATAGAGCAAAGCAGAAGATAAAGCATTAGGAGCAAAATATATTAACCATGATCAAGTATAAAATGGAATGTTTGGTTGGATATATAATAGTTGTACCTAATCCCAAATCCAAAATTTCAATGATTATTTTTTAATTGAGTCAGAAAACTGATGAACTACAAACTAATTGATAAACCATTTTAATGTAGTAGTAATTAAAATGGAAACTTACATGAAATTTAAAAATACACTTTTTGTTTTTGTTATGTTTTCTTTTTTGGAAATGTCATTAAGTGTTTGAATTGGTCAGTGTGAATTGTCCATATGACAATTGTGCAAAGAAGTTTTACAATACCCAAATGTTAGAAAACATTGAAATTTACTTTATAGCACCAAAACAATATAAATATAAACAGTACTAATGTAAATATGTATAGAATTAGATTTATTAAAACATCCAAGAAAAATACAATCATAGAACAACTGCTATTGAACTTATGACTTAGAAATGTAAACTGGATTAAACTGTTTAAGAAGGTATTCATAAGAAAAATTATATTAATATATTAATGAGGACTAAATGAGGTGATATGGTTGTATTTGTTTAACATGGACATTATCATCTAGTCCTGTGAGTTTAATAGAAAATTTAAGAGAACTTTTGTAATCACACAAATAGGTCACATTAATTTTTGATATCATGAGACCCCCTTCTATAATTATTGATGTACGTATAATGGAAATTCTCACAATTTTCTGTGAGTACTGGTTCATCATGCTTTGTTTATATAAAAATTTAGCATTGTATATACCCTAAATTCTGCATCTAAAAGAGGCCAAAGGTTTCCTACTAATAGTTGAGAGATAATAAAAATAGTTGAGAGATAATAAAAAAAAAAGTTGGCATACATCCAACTATGTTGTTTATTTTTTCCCAGACAGTAGATGCCAAGTGCATCTTCTTAATGATATTAATATTCATATATAAATTCCTAGTTATATTCCTATACTAAATGACCATCATGATCATCACTAATCGTTCTTTTACATTACTCTAGCATGCCATCTAATGAAACTTTAGATTGCATACCAAATATGTCATCCTGCCAGTTAAAGTAGAAACAAACATATTCAGCTTAAAATAGATTACCATAATCTTACCAGAAATTCCTAGTTATAAAATTATTTATAAACTATATTTACGAAAATATTCTCAGTCAGCTTAAATTTTTGCTGCTACATTTTCATGTTTAATCCTACTAAAATTTAGGAAAACAGAACAGAGCTTGTATACATTCTGAGATAATTTAGACCATTCTTTATTCATATTTTCAGAAAATATTTATTGATCATTTCCTATGTGTAGATTAAGTCCCTCTTCAGTGAAAAAGTCAAACAAAATAAAAAATAAAGCCCTTGCTTGCATTGTGTTGACCTTCTAACAAGGGCATTCAGACATTCACAAAAAAAGAGAAATAACTGGCACATTAGATAGTGCAAAGTGTTATGGAAGAAAATAAAGTGGGGAAATGTAGTATTTCATTGTAAATGTTATTGAACATACATAATTACTGAAGTGTTTATACTACATTACTACATACTCAGTATTATAGTTAATACTCTTTCAACTATTCATTACTTAATAAACAATTATCCTTGAGATGTCTGCTTTATATGTTTTACAATTCTAACTGAAAAAATTTTGAAGAATACTCCCATGCTGGTAAAAAGATAACTTTTCTCCTCCTTACCCCTACCCACATTTATTCCTAGTTTAGTAGGCAGCATTTTTCTGTAGCGCCGTGCTTCTAATATGCCTAATTCTCGCTTGTTCTTAGATCTTACACTTCACTGGGTTATAGTTTTCTTTGAGAATATGATAAAAGCTCTGTATGCTCTCACCAGAAAAAAAGACAATAGACATCCCAATACTTAAAGTTCCCTTCTAGACCATTGCAGGCATCATAGAGTAGTCCTGGCTGTATGTCACCCTTATAGTACATTGAGTGGATATGAGATAAATCAATAAATAAGCCCATTTCAGTAATTGCACAAATGTATTTATGAGGATGGGGAGGAGTTCCACTAGTCATATATACTTGTTGTTTTTAAGTTAGCAAACCTGTATAGAGTTTCCAAGGCTGTACTTCGTTGTAGGAGTAGAAAGCCTCATCTTTCTCCCATGGAGTGACAGTTGAGCTCAATCTGCCAACATTGTGTTTGGTGGTCCAGTGCTTATTGTATAAAACCACCACTGTCTCTAGTCAGATAAGCTTCTTGTTTTTATTGTTAGGTGCCATTGAGTCAGTTCCAACTCACAGTGACCCTATGCACAACAGAACAAAACACTGCCCGGTCTGGTGCCAGTCGCACAATTGTTGTTATGCTTGAGCCCATTGCTCAAAGTCTCATATGTATATTGTCGTTGTTAAGTGCTGTCAAGTTGGTTTTGACTCACAGTGACCCTGTTTAGAGTTTCCAAGGAGAGGCTGATGGGTTAAAACACAGACATTGTTGTTAACAAATGTGGTTGTTGTTGTTTCTTGCTGTTGAGTCTGTTTCGACTCCTAGTGACCCTGTATAGAGTTTCCATGTAACAGCTGGTGGGTTTGAACCACAGATTTTGTGATTCACAGTCCAGTGTTGATCCTACAGCATTACATCAGGAGTTCAGCAGATACGCTTAGGAGAGAAAAAAGCAGTTGAACAGATTTTTCTACCATAATACTTCTCGGTGCCTTTAACATGCTGATACGTATTATGAATCTCAAAGAAGGTGCTGTAGAAGTGAGTTGGGTGAGGCCAATCTGAAATGAGAATCCGTTTGAATAACCTGAAAGACAGCTTTGAAGTGGTGTGGTAAGTGGATATTAAAATGAACTTCTGTGGTCTACATTGCACTTGACTTGGTACCTCCAAGTTCAACATATGAATTCTGACATGCCACTTGTATCCAAGGAAAGAGCCCAAATCATAGAAATAAGCTCTTTTATAGGCAGCATCAGCTTGAATGCAGACCGTGTTTTCTTAAACTTAAATTGTGCCAAGTCTTGCTTTTCTGTGAGACATTTTATTTTATTTTTAGAGTGCCAGAGCAGAACTTGAAAGACTGAGGCTCAGTGCAAAACCTGACAAAGAGTCTGTGGACTCCCACTTAAAGGAGAGAGCCTCCATTGTGGCCCACTGCCTGGAACACAAGGAAGATAAACTTCGAAACCGAACCAGGAAGCATCGTAGTTTCAACTGTCTGGAAGATACAGGGGCTGAGGTCCCTCATGGGCAACAAAAATCCTATAAAGGCGTAAAGACCTTGAGAAAGACTGAGGACAGAAATAGTAAAGCTACTTTGGATTCTGATAATAAATTACCATCAAACGTTATTGAAGAACTTAATGTGGTTCTACAGCGAACAAGAACGCTTCCAAAAGAGTTTCAAGATGAGCAGATTTTGCAGAAAGAAATAAAATGACTTTTCCCCACAGCTTAAGGGTTTTAAAAATAGTGTATACAGTGCTTGTGCACAAATCAGAAGCCAAACTCAGTGGTAGTTCTTCATTTGAGAAATTTCTGTACCTATACTTAAACATTTAAAGAGTATTTTAAATAATATGTATATATGTGGTAAGTAAGTGTAAGATTAACTTTATTTGGGTCTGAACATAGCTTGTAAAGTTCAACTTTGTAACCTTATGTAAGAAGACATAAGGTTACAATGAGTAATGACACTTTAAAACTAGTTCACTAAGTGGTTTAATTTATGAGCAGAAATCTCAAGTTGTACTGTATTGTATAAAATAATTGTGTATAAATGAGGCCATATGAAACTAGATGTATAACACATTTTGCACTTTGAGGAACCTTGTATATTATGTTACTATATATTTTTAGGTTTACATAGGGTCCACCTTAAGGAAAAGAAAGGGAAGTAAGTTCAAATGGGATAGGTTTTATTTTTGTGGCTGCCTAACAAATAACCTGGAGGTTTTCATCAGAGACAAAGAGTTAATGTCCTGAAAAGTAAGGAGGTAAGTTAAGATTCATTCTAGTTCACTCTTGGCCAGTACTTATTAATAGGAAACTGCTAGTTAAGAAAAGAAAGTCGAGTATTTATTCCTCAAGAATAATATTCAGCCAACAGACTTGAATAGTGGGACTGACCATTCTTAGTTCTGGTGTTAGTGCACAAGCCACAGTACACATTCACTACGCTTCAGTTCTTTGCAAGTGGCTGCTAAGGAGAAACTTAACTCTGCACTGGAGAGGTTGTATGAAAAGGACTTGGCACTGATGCCATTTGCACTGTTGCTGTATGCATGCAGTTTTTTTAGAGTTCCTATAACTATACTTCAGGTACGAGCTAAATTCACAATCACAGGGTTTTCTTGTTGACCTTTTTTGTTAGTGTTTTATTTTGTATGTTTATTTGCTGTTATTTTAAGTAAAGTGGGAATGTCTTTTTCTGGAATCAGCTGGAATAGTACAACATATAACCATTTCACTTTGAGGGATGGCTTGTTGTGGATAAGTACTGTCAAAGGATGGCTTACTCTACTCATTTTGATGCTTCTAGTTCACATTTGAAATCCCTGGGTGGTGCAAGTGGTTTATGTGTTTGACTGTTAACCGAAAGATTGGAGGTTTGAGTCTTACCCAGAGACATCTTGCAAAAAGGCCGGATGATCTACTTCCAAAATTGCAGTCGCTGAAAACCCCTCGGAGCATAGCTCTCATTAGACACAACGGGGTCTCCTTGAATCAGAATTCACTTGATAGCAACTGGCAGTGGTGATGGTAGCGCTGCACCTTTAATTCAGTCCTTCAAATTAAACAGTAGTCTCCTTACTCTGCCTGGTGTTTGCTGTTAGTTGCTATGGAGGCAAATCCGTAGATTCATGGTGACTACCATGGCACATCGGAGTCCTGGTGTGGCGCTGTGGATTAATGTACCATACTTCAGAGCCACTTGAACTGCAAGATTGGTGGTTCAAGCTCACCAGCTGCTCCTCGGAAACCCAATACAGGGTCGCCATGGGTCAGAACTGACTCAACAGCACTCAACAACAACAACCATGGCACATCATCACCACCACCACCCCTAATAGTTGAATACCTAACCATTTTACCACACAGAGATTCCAAACAATGGCAAAACTCCCTATTTTTCTTCCATATATCAAATTAGGGATTTTCTTCTACATATCTAATTCATGTCTTTTGTAAGACAGACAGTCCTGATTCTAGTTCATGTCAAGGACAGTACCTTTCATCACTTTCTATCAAATTATATTACTTGGTGAATTTTGATATTAAGAATATATTTTAGGAAGCCAAGCATTATTCCTAACATTTCCTTTTTCTCGTTATCAGATTTTGTCTAGCTACAAAGAACAATTAGATACTTCATTCAACCCAGTAATAATACAGTGATAAGCTATGAAGTTCTCCATTATAAAATAATGATCACTTATATTAGGTAGTGAAGAAAGATAGTTTACCATGGGTGTGTATATTTGTTATTTAAATCCAAATAAACTGATATTAAAAAAAGAAAAACTGCTGGTCAGTTTATGAAGTAGGTGGCACTATTGGCAGTACTGGGGAACTTTCCTTTAGCAAGAAATCATGGTATGCAGGGAGATTTAAAAACAAACAAAGTATTATTTCTAACAAATATTTATATTTTTTATTAAGAAGGGGGTGTATGAGAATTGATATGTTTGACTTTGCTGGCCTGTTTATGGAAATGTGCCTGGAATTTTTAGCCTGTGTCATCTGAATTTTTCTGAGACCTAAACCTAAAATCTAGTAGTTTGTGCTTCCTTTCCTTTCATGTATAATTCTCCCTTTTCTCAAGTGTAAGATAAGGGCTAATGGTGAGATATCACATTTTGAGTAAAAATTAAAATTGTTTTACAAGTCTACTTGAATGGTACTGTTGTCTTTTTTCAGTGACTTTCAAAACTTGAAGGTGGTTTTGAAACAATACGAGTAGATTTTCTTTTTTTTTTTTAATTTGAATTTATAATTCAAAGTGGATTAGATGTTTTTAAAAAAGGTGCTTTGGTAGGAATGTTGTTCTTTCTATTTTAGATGATGAATGTCTGCAGACATGACGTGGAACAGATTGATGCCATTCTGCCTTTCATTTCCGTAGCCCAGAGTGAATTACTAGACATGATTTTTAAATATTTAATTTCCAAACAAATCATTACCTGATGATTCATCCAAGAGGCACTGAGAATTCAAAATGAAGCAGAATGTAATTTAAGTAAAAATATGTCCCCTCTATAACTATATTAATGCTGCTATGTTGCATTGTTCAAGAGACAATTTTTAATTTTAAAATATACATAAAAATATATTGCAAAATGAAATAGTTTTCAAAGCATGTTAAATTTATTTAGACAGTTGTTTGCATGTTTGTTTTCTCAAACTTGACAGTCACTCTGGGGACAAAATGAATAGCATTTTCACATGATCAAAATTTGCAATAGGACTTTCATATTATTTACATTTATTCACTCAACATGGACAGAAAGAGATCTATATTGTGGGTATTTTTCTTTTCATTTACCTCTAATCATGTGATAAAGCAAGATACAAATGAATTTTACACGTAACGGGTTCATTTTTTTTTTTTTTTAATTCCCTAGTTATCTTTTTAAACTTTTTATTAATTGAATGAAGGTTCACAGACAATATCAGCAGCTTTACATTCAGTCAATCTTACACTTTGTCTCATCTCAATGAATGCAATCCCCTCCAGGCAATGCTATTTCACTTCTTCCCTGTGGTTCCTATCTCCATTCCAACCTCCTTCCTATACCTTCTAAAGATTGCCCTTAAGTAAATGTTGCTTACTTTGAATGATTAACCATCCCATGGTGAGTGTACCTCACTAGTATTATTGTCCCTCCTACATACCTATCTACTGCTTGGTTGAACATTAGGCAATGAGGGTGAGTTCCTTCCAGACCGGAACGGTGGTCAGTGGCCATAGTCTCTGGGTCCTCCTATCTCTCTGACTGCTAAGTCCAGTCTTTCTTATAATTTTGAGTTTTGTTCCATATTTCCTCCCACTCTACCTGAGACCTTGTAAGATCCCTTTCAGAGCAGGGTAGTGGTGGCTGGGCACCATTAGTTCTTCTAGTCCCAGAGTCATGGAGCCTGATGTTCATATGTTCTGTTAGTTCATTGAACTAACATCTTCAATGCTCATCACCTTTCTTTCTCACATGGAAAGCAACTTCAATGGCCACTCATGAGCTTTTAAGATCCCAGACACTCCTCACCAAAGTAGGAAGTAGAACATTGTCTCTGGATACAATGTTATAGCGACCATGATGTCCCCTGAAACTGTGGCCCTGAGCACTCATGCCCAGCAACTCATTGCCTGAAGAAGTTTTCATCATTCTGTCTGCTGTATGCTCCATCACATTCATAGGTGTGCTTTCAGCAAGGTGACTGCACATGTACACCTATATTCTTTCAAACTCACATGTATGCATGAGTTTACACTCAGTCTTCTTCCCATACCCATTCAGCCTGTGTATCTATCCATGTATCTACGTGCTTCTTGGAATCGCAAATGGCAAGACTTCATCTCTCATACTTCAGACATACTGCCAGGAGGAACAAGTCCTAGAACATAATGCCTAGGACATATTGCCCAGGACATCATGCTAGGTAAATTGGAGGGTTAGCAAAAAAAGAGCAAGACCCCAACAAGATGGATTAGCACAGTGGCAGCAGAAATGGGCACAAGTTCAACAACTATTGTGAGAATGACACAGGACCAGACAGTGTTTCATTCTATATTGTGCATAGCGTCACTATGTGTTGGAATCAATGGCACCTAACAACAATAACATGTATAGGATCATATCATCTGCCAAAAAAGGAGAAGGAAAAAACAAAAAACAGGACAGATATCAGACCCAGAGAGGAGAATATTCTGGGGTCTCTTGCCAGTCAAGGACCTCATGTCATGGGTGGGCAAGTAATAAGACAGTACTGTTCCCAATCCTAGACAGAGTTCCTGTAGGGTTAGGTGTTGTCTACTCTGGGCACCCAATCTGATAGTCATTTGTGCAGACCCTAAAGTAGCTGGAGATCCGGGTATTTCTGTTCCAGAGGGCAGCTGAGGACTCGTGAGGGGTCCTGCTAATCCGGAGCTGGCCAGAACCAGTGTTGCAGGTCTGGTTCAGACCACACTTGATTCCAGGTGCCAGAGGTGGTACTACTAGTTCCCCACTCCCTTCGATGTGACTCTGATCACCTGGAGAGCAGTAGCTTCCTGAGAGTGTACTAGGGTTGGGGTTGGCCAAACCCTTGGCCAAAGACTACTGTTGGATCCAAGAAAAAAAATCACACCTTTTGATCTGCCAAAAATGTTATACCTCTGAGTCACCTGCCACCCTATTGCCTTCAATGCCACCCAAAAGTTCATGGTGGCCATGCAATGCCTTTCCAGATCAAT